ATTGACAGTCCCAATCCCGAGTAAAGGAGGAGGGTTGGGCATGGGGTTAGCGATCCCATCCGGTAGAACACTAATTCGTTAAAAAACGCGAACCAGGAAAAATAATTCGAACCATTTAAACTCTGTCATGGGAGTATGAAGGCGTATGAAGACCTAGACATCTGAGGGAAAATACGAAATACAATGGACATATCAGGACGAATTAGATGATTTGGACTTCTCAGATCACCTATCCTATGCACACGAATAATTGCAGATGAAAAAAACTCGTGTATCAGGAGCCTTTACACCAATAGGCTTCAACATACACAAAAGAAAAAGCAAGATTCTCAAATACAACACCGAGAACACCAACCCAATCACACTTAATAGCGAAACTCTGGGAGATGTGGAATCCTTGATATACCTGGACAGCATCATCGATGAAGAAGGAGGATCAGATGCAGGCGTAAAGGTAAGGATTGGCAAAGCAAGGACATATGGAACTCAAAACAACTGTCTGTCAACCATTATCAAAGTCAGGATCTTCAATACGAACGTCAAGACGGTTCTACTGTACGGAGCTGAAACTTGGAGAACTGCAACAACCATCATCAAGAAGGTGCAAGTATTTATAAGTAGTTGTCTACGCAAGGTGCTCAACATCCATTGGCCGGATACCATCAGCAACAGCCTACTGTGGGAGAGAACAATCCAGCTTCCAGCTGAAGAGGAGATTAGGAATATATAATGGAAGTCGATAGGACATACATATGAGAAATCATCAAACTGCATCACGAGACAAGCCCTAACTTGGAATCCTGAAGGGAAGCGAAAAAGAGGAAGGCCAAAGAACACATTACGTCGGGAAATAGAAGCAGATATGAAAAGGATGAATAACAATTGAAAAAGATTTCTCAGGACAGGGTTGGTTGAAGAATGATGGTGAGTGGCCTATGCTTCTTCATGAGGATTAACAGGCGTAAGTAAGTAATAAGGAAACTGCTAACTTATATCTCCCTTACTTTTTAGTAGACTGAAATGTTAGTTGTTATTCACTTGAATTACGTGCATAATGTTTGAAGTATACTTCATTTTTTAAACTTTGTATTTGGATAGTCTATCCTCCTTTTAGTTTCATAAGCTATTCTATTCAGAAAACAGTGATCAGTTGAATGTATATATATCAGACAATTGTACGATATAATGAAGAAACTGGCCGGCTTATACTCCTTCACAAGGAGTAACAGGTGTAAGTAAGTAAGTAAGTAAGTTTTATCTGTTTAAACGATTATTTCAATGTTTTAGTCTTGTATCCAATTAATAATATGAATGTGTATAATCTTATTAATAAATGATAAGTATGATTTGTTGTATGGTAACTAAGTGACACGGGTTAATATTAAAAAAAATAATGATGTAATCATTTGATCAATAAGATCCGAATAAGAATGAATTCAATATAACAATAACATGATCATGATAACAATCATCGATTGAATAACATTCGAGAATGTATACTTTTGATGTATAACTATAATGAATTAAGAGAGATTTCAGACCATATGAAAATGAAGAGAAAAAAAGAAAAGATGATGAAGCATAGCAACAAAGAATAAAATAAGAGAAAAAAAAATACTAAGAGAAGAACAAATGCAAACAAAATACAAATGGAACTTAGTTTAAGATAATGGAAAAGATAGTGCAAATTGTTTTTATAGAAATAGATATGATATTCAATTGAACTTATATCAATAAACAAACTTATTCATCATAGCAATTCGTTTATGTCAATATGGTTTTATAACTCCATATGGAAAGTGTGGTGTGAGCTACTTATATCCTTATAAGCAGTATATAACTATTATCAGAAATAGAATGTATTTTAGTAGAAGATCGAGAAGGAAAGAACGGGAACAGAAAGCAATTGATATAAAAATACATGGACAACGAAATCTGAGACGATGGATTGATATTTTGCAAATTAACTAGTTACTGTGTGGTTCTCAGATTTTGGTGAGATGTTCTGTAATTTTGTGTTCAAATACATTCGGTTGACTCCATTCGTGTTCTTGTTCACTACAAAAATACTGAAATATTTACGTTTTTTTTTTGCTTCACTTATTGTTCGAATTGATTACTAACATATACTACTTATTTTACCCAACTTCGTAGAAACTAGGGTAACGTACTTTTAAGAAATTCACCGTTGAGATAATAATTTATGGATGATCTTTGAGCGATACCAAAGTGACCTTGAAAGTATCCACCTACTTACTACGGTTAAATAAGGGTTAGACAGCTGTGTGAAGAGCTGAACTTTTAGGAAATCTGAGTATGAGATGGTAATTGTGTTATACGATAACAAACAAAAATGCTTTCTGACACCTCTTCTCATCTTCAAAATCATTTATTCATGAATTATATTAAGGAAGAAAACGTATCCATAAGAGACTTATGTTTCTTTTTAATTTTGATGCCTGAATATCATTTTATATTGATGATATATAATTCTATCTGAGAATTTAATTACTGAGATTTTCGGTTATTTATAAATGGTTTTCTATGAACTGGTATCATATTATAGAACCAATAGAAACAAGAATACACTGAACAGTCGTTTCATCTAACTTTAAATTTCCTCAATATTAGATTTTCATAACCCAATATATGATAGAATTCAAGATCATGATGAAATAAGATATAATGAACTGATACCATTTGTAAATGTGAAACATTATCTTCTGAATCAGTGGATAAAGTCATAATAACTTCATCATATAACCTGTAATTTTCTCGATTACACTCAATATAGAGATGTGATCGAGCAATGGTAATGAATTGTAAAGCAGAACGAAACACGTATTCAATTTTCTTTGACTTTTAATGTTTTTCCATTTGATATCAGTTCATGATGAAGTAATAGATCACTATGTAGTGTATGCTACTTATGTCGACAGACATAAGTAGTATGTAACACTAATCAGAATTAGAATGTCTAGCAGCAGAAGGTTGAGAAGATCAAATCAAAGAAAACAATAATGTCAACAGAGAGTAATTGTAATGATAACAGGTATGAAGGAATGATGAAGTTTGTAAATGACAACTGATGGATAATGTATGGGTATTTCATATTTTATGAAGACGTTCAGTAATTTATATTAAAAAATAAATTTATTGTCCCCAACAATTCTTCATTCACTACAATTATACTAATCAATCGATACTTTCATTTTGAATACTTACTTACTTACACCTGTTACTCCTCATGGGGGAGTATAGGCCGTCCAACAACACTCTCCACCCTACATTGTCCTGGACAATCCTTTCCAGTTCCTTCCAGTTGCTATTTATCCTTTCCATGTCTGTTTCCGATTCCCGACACAGTGTGTTTAACAACCTTCTTCTTTTACATTCCCCTTCAGAATTCCATGTTAGTGCTTTGCTCATGATGTAGTTTGGTGATTTTCTCAATGAATGACCTATCCACTTCCAATGTCTTCTTAATTTTCTCTTTAGATGGAAGCTGTTTTGTTCTTTCCCACAGTAGACTGTTTCTGATGGTATCCGGTCAACAACGGATATTCAGTATCATGCGTAGACAATTGTTTAGAAATACATGTATTCTTTTGATGATGGTTTTTGTAGTTCTCTAAGTTTCAGCTACGTACAATAGAACTGTCTTGACGTTCGTATTGAAGATTCTGACTTTGATATTGGTTGATGGTTGTTTTGAGTTCCATGTGTACTTCAATTGTAGGAATGTGGCCCTTGATTTGTTAATCCTCGACTTAACGTTTGCATCTGATCCTCCTTGTTCGTCGATGATGCTTCCTTCATTTTGTATATTTTTAAATTAATCTTTATATGAATATTTACTCTATGCTTATTCATCTTTCAATTCAACTAATGAAAATCAAGTGCCATTTATCTGTAGTAAATTAGAAAAGTATAAGTATGATCTAATGAACGTTGTTATCCATTAATATTGAAGCTAATTTAGGATGAAATAAACCGATCAAATGCTCAGAAAATTTGATCCATAAACAAATAATAATTGAATCACGACCTAAACTACAGATGTAAAGGCGAGAATACGCAAAGCAAGGATAGCATTCCTATAACTGAAGAACATATGGAATTCAAAACAACTATCAACCAATATCAAATTCACAATCTTTAATACAAACGTCAAGACGGTTCTGTTGTACGGAGCTGAAACTTGGAGAACTATCACAACAATCATCAAAATAGTACAAGTATTTATAAACAATTGTCTACGTAAGATATTGAATGTCCGTTTGCCGAATATTATCAGTACCAGTCTATTGTGCGAGAAAACAAAACAACCTTCATCTAAAGATCAAATTAAGAAAAGATGTTTTAAGTGGATAGGACATACATTACGGAAATCATCAAACTTCATCAGGAGGCAAGCGCTAAGATGGAATTTTGAATAGAAACGAAAAAGAGGAACACCAAACAACACACTACATTGATAATTGAAAGCAGACGTAAACAAGGATGAATAACCACTGAAAAGGATTGTCCAAGACACAGTTGGATAGACAATGATGATGGGTGGCCTATTCTCCTCCACAAGGAGTAACAGGCGTAAGTAAGTCAGTAAATGAAAATGAAAATTTAAGATCAATTTTCAATTTCATTTTTAACGTCTCAATAAGTCACTTATTAATTTACTTTAATTAAATGAATGACATGTCAATATGAAATTGTAAGCAACATTTCTATATTACGAATATCAATGACAAATACATTACAATAAGTTTTTTTTGAGTAGTTTTTATACCTTGGTAATATTACCCTAGTTACTTAACATCATCATCATCATCATCACCACCACCACCACCACTACCATATGTGTTTACTTCATTCACTAATAATGTATTTGTATATATGCGTGTGCGTGCACGCGTGAGCGCATGGATATAAAATACACTTTTTATCTTTCAGACAAATGGTCATGTGTTGTCACATAGAAACAATAAATGAACACATGTGAAACCTTCATTCTATTGATTAGTATCATGAGTCAAAAAAAGAAAGGTATTTTCTATTGGTTATTTGAAAATTGTGCAAAACGAATTTAAAGTTGATCATTCACTTTCCTTTCCTTTTTTTTATTAGAAAAAACAAAACAATAAAAAGTTATATTCCTTAAACAATGCAAAAATCTAAAATTACTAATCGATTATGTAGACTACCTGGTCGTTTAGATGGGAAATTAGTTATTGTAACTGGTGCAAATATTGGTTGTGGACTTGAATTAAGCGGTGAATTAGCACGTCGTGGATGTACTGTAATTATGGCATGTCGAGATTTAGAAAGAGGATTTTTAGGAAAAGAAGTTCTACTTGATCGATTTGGTGAAAGAAGTCAAGAGAAATGGAGAAAATCACCAGCTGGTCCAGGAGTTGAACCATTTCTTGATGTTATTAAAACAGCACAGGTAACTTGTATAGAATTTAATTTTTAAAAACAAAATTGATTAGTTATGTAAATGATGTTGGTTAATTTGAAAAGAAATTTAGCCAAGTACTAGAATCAGCTGAAAACTGTTCTTTTTTTATTATTTAGTTTTAATATTGGGCAATCATCCGCAGTTTGTGGAGAAGATTGGTAGTTAAAGTGGATGATTTTGATGAAGTTTTGTTCTCTTAGCTGGATGGTTTGGTTGTGGAGCTTTCATTGTTGTTTTGAAAGACATTATCAGCACAAATTTCATGTAGAAGTCTATTTGAAGTTTGTATTGATGATGTCGTTCGGAAGAACGATGAAAGTTCCATGACTAAACCATCCAGCTCAGAGAACAAAACTTCATCAAAATAATCCGCAGTATAATAACCACAGGGAAAACATCAACAGACATTGAAACCACTAAACACGATGTTTCAAGATACCAACTCATTTACTACCACTGTGGATTATAAAACATTCCCGAATTTCGGCAGTAATTACATATTGTTTCACCAGGATATGTGAAATCCTTCAGAGACAACAGTGAATAAAGAAAACGAGATACCGAACGTATTCAACTAGGAAAAGATTAAATTTTGTAAAACTAGTATTCGATCGTAGGTGTCTTCGAAATATTGCTCGTATATCCTGGAACCATCGAGTAAGTAATGCAGTTGTTAGGAAACGGGTACTAGGTAAGGATGGCAAATCAATTAATGACGTAGTGAAACTTGATCAGTTGAGATGGCTGGGACACGTATTACGTTTGCCCAGCCATCGACTGCCTCGACGTGCGATGTTTTATGGTGTAGGAGAAGGTTGAAAGAAAGCTAAGGGTGGCCAGACCAAAACATGGCATAAATTCATGATGTCACTGAAAAGTGGACTGAGTCATGTTGGTAGGTGTAGACTAGCTGTTTGGGGACCGCGAGATGATAGCAACCGTTGGTTAGAGACCCTGAATGACATGGCTCAAAATCGTTTGCAATGGTGCAGGTGCATCCACTCTTTGTGTTCTCCCAAATTTTGATCTCCTTATTCCTCCTTGTCTCTTTTTTTCTCTTTCCAAATTTCTTTCACTGGATTATACTCTTTAAATAACATCTCCAAACCCTAATCTTCCCGATTACTGCTTATACTCTTGCTACCTCTACCACTACGGGATTTGAATCGACCACTGCATCTCTATGCTAATGTGGTGTAGCAACTCGAACTGATGTACGTACGCACGAAGTTCTACGTTGTTACTGACTGACTGACTTACTGACTGACGTACTAGTTTTTTAGATTGATAAGGTAAGGTCAGACTAATAACTGTATTGGATCCTGTATGTGCGTCTCGGGGATGCAGCATAGATCTAAGGGATTTGAGTTGACAATTGTATCTGTGTGATAATGTGGTATGTCAACTTCAACTCATGTACGTACGTACGAAGTTCTACGTTGCTACTGCCTGATTGACTGACTGACTGAACTTTTGTAAACATATAATAGAAACACTCCCACTGGCACATTGTACATATAAATTTTTCCAATGTTAAAGAAAACATCACGATGGTATCATAGATGATCCAGATCGATATAAGATATTATTGTCATTTTTCTACATAGACCGTTTTTATTTACCATGGTACTATGAAAATACTCATTACAGCTATACAGAATATATATAGAGTAAGTTACTTACTTAGTTACAGCTGTTACTTCTCGTTGAGGAGTATAAGCAGCCCACTAACACTCTCCATACAACCCTGTCCTGGGTAACCCTTCCAGTTCTTTCCAGTTGTTATTCATCCTTTTCAAATCTGTACCGTAAATTACTCTCTTGTAATTTCTCAATGTTTTTGTTTCCTTTCTTTCTACTTTTAGTTAATTGTTGAACATTTGGATTTAGCTTGTTTAGAATCCATTCGTCATTTTGCTAAAAGCATTTTAAGTCAATATACACGATTAGATATATTAATCCATAATGCTGGAATGATGGCTACTAGTTACATGGAAACACATGATGGATTTGAATTACAAATGGGTGTTAATCATTTAGGTCCTGTATTATTAACTGAATTATTATTACCATTATTATATAATGGTGCACCATCACGTGTTATTGTAATTGCTTCAAATCTATATCAACAAGGTGATATTGATGTGAATAATTTAAATTTACGCGGTGAACAATATGGACCATTTAAAGCATATAATCAATCAAAATTAGCTAATGTTTTATATGTTCGTGAATTAGCTAAACAATTAGATGGTTTAAAAGTGATACCAATGGCTGTACATCCTGGTGCAGTAAGAACAGAAATATCAAATACAGGAGATCATAGATATCAGGTAAGAAAGAGAATATTAGGTCATTTATGTATATAATCATGAGTGTTTTTATTATTAAGGAGGTTGATTTTCAATACAGTGGTTTTGAGTGCTGTTAGAGGTATGAGGGCGGTTATCAATTCCAGATTGCTCACATCGTAGAAGGGTTCTTCTGTAGGGACTTGAAAAGGAAATTGGATTAGAGGTGGTTTTAGTGACCTGAGAGCATGACTACAGTGTCCAAGGAACAGCTGCTTGAGGTCGATCACACACAACTTTTTGTGTTAGCTCCATACTTATTGACACCTAACCGCTGGAGACGGATATCCGTGGGTATTGGGTGTTCATCTTCTTGTGCTAATGAGGTATGGCAACTTGGACCGATGCATAAATGTGCCTGGTCCTACGTTGTAGCTGACTGACTGACTGTGTTTAATATCAAGGAGATAATTGTTTAATAAAACTTCATGAATATTTAGTAACCAACGTGATAACACTAAGTTAGAATTTTATCAAGTTATGAACTGATTAAAGTTAAAAATGTGTACTGTTTGATCTCAACTCACTTGTTTAATTGTATTGTACTTGTCATAAAACCTGAAGTTCCACAGAAATCTAGTCTTTGTGAGGTTATTGTCGTATTATTGTTGAGGTTTCTCAAACTAAAATAATGGAAAGTTGTCTCATACTTCATGATTTTCAATGGTCTTCTCTAAAGGATGTTAAGCTATGATGGAATCAGTCCTATCCACTTACAGCGCTTCTTCCTGATTTCTTCCTCCACTGGAATCTGACTTGTTCTCTCCCACAGTACGTTGTTGCTCATAGTGTCCGGCCAACGGATCCGAAGTATTTTGCATAGACAGCTGTTGCTAAACACTTGTATGTTTTAGATGATGGCTTTGCTAGTTCTCCAGGTTTCTGCCCCATTTTGCCATAGTGTTGTTGTGTCCATGCTGTCAAATGCCTTTTCGCAGTCAATGAAGTTGATGTAGAGTGATGAATTTCATTCAATTGAATGTTCCACAATGATCCGTAGAGTTGCGATTTGGTCTATACACGATCTATCCTTACAGAATCCTGCCTGTTGGTCACGAAGTTGGGTGTCTACGCAGTCCTTCATCCTGTTTAACAATACCCTGTTGAAGACTTTTCCTCGTATCAAGAGAAGAGTGATGCCCCTGTAGTTATCACAGTTGCTGAGGTCGCCTTTCTTCGGTATTTTGACCAGAAGTCCTTCTTTCCAGTCTTCTGGTACTTGTTCCTGGTCCCAAATCTTATTGAAGAGAATTTGGAGTATCCTTGCAGTAGCCGCTACGTCTGCTTTCAGTGCCTCTGCTGGAATGTTGTTTGTTTCCGCTACTTTGTCGCTCTTGCTTTGTCTGATGGCTATGCTAATCTCTTGAATTTTTGGCGGCTAACACTGATTGGGAGGTCCGTGGGGGCTACTTCGATGTTGGGTGGATTCAGTGGGGCTGGTCGATTCGAGAGTTCTTTGAAGTAGTCTACCAACCTGTTTCGCTGTTCTTCGATGTTGCTGATTATTTTGCCCTCCCTGTTTTTCACTGGTCGTTCTGGCTTGCGGCGATTTCCAGAGAGTTTCTGTGTTATGTCATACAGTTGTCTCATATTTCCTTCTCTTGCAGCCAAAAACTGAAAATAATGATCTTTTTTCAAGCGTTGGCAATAATTAAATTCGCTTGATGTTGTTTACTTGCATCTTTTGTGGAGTAATCATCAACTCTGAGATTCAGGTATAGCCGGCTGACGAGTCCCATATTAGGACGTAACGCGCGTCCTGGATTCCATTGTTAGCCACTATTCATCTTTGCTTATAAAGTTTGTGACTTAAGGCAATATCGAAACAAACCACACAGAATGCACATATGCCAACAAGAGAGTGATCAATCGCACTCTTAAACAACAATGAGAAGATAAAAACAAACAACACCAAGTGAATTTAAACTTCACCCCATTACAAAAGCGAGTGTGTATCATAATTCAGTAGCTAGGTGGATAACGCGATGGCATTGAAAACGATCGGTATTTGGTTCGAGTCCTGGGGTGGATATGAAGTCTAGGATATAGATACATCTAGCTGATGAGTCCCAAATTAGGACGAAACACACGTCCTGGATTCCACTGCTAGTCACTATTCATCTTTGCTGACAGTCATTCTTTGCAATGGAGAAGAATTGTATTAGTTACGTTTCACTCTTTTTTTATCTCATTTAATAAACAAATGATTCATTAAAAAAAGAACTATTCCTGAGTGATATATACTTTAATTATTTCAATATACATTTAACCTAGTCCATTTGAGTATGTTATGTCGATTGAAATTACCATTGAAATGATTCCATTATAATGAAATCATATTGAGATAGATGTATATGTATATACAATACAAGTATACATAGTCATTGTAAAAGAATTCAGATTCGATAATGATCGATTACTGATTAGCAATTCGAAAGAAAAAAATAATAATAACCATAGTAATTGACAGTTATTGTAAAGAGATTACCATAATCAATCTTCTTTATTACTTCAATGGTATGTAGATACAATATAGTTAAATGTTTCGAATAAATCTTAGATAGTATGAATGAATTACTCATATCATAACAATCTTCTTCTTATTATTATTATTATCATCATGATGATCAGTAGCTTATAATTAATCGGTAATAAATATGGTATATCATGAATAATCTATTCAGTAGACCATAAGGGTATATCATATTTGTCTTGTGTTGTTTTTTTGTTGTTGGTAGAAACATAAATTTACACTGATTCAAACATATTGATTTAGTGTAATTTTTGTATATCATGCCAACTATGTGATAAATACAATTGTGATTATACTAGTTGACATGACTAACTTCTTAGTAAATGAAACTAACTTTATATGGAAACTAAAACGTGGCATCAGTGCTTGAAGTCATTAACTTCTAGTTTTAGTCATGTTGGTAGATGCAGACTACTTGGTTGGGGTCCATGTGACTATCGTAAACAATGGTTCGAGACTCTTGATGACATGGTTCAGAATCGATCACAATGGTGTGGGTGTATACACTCCCTGTCTTCCCTTAAACTAAGAGATTAAAATCGCTTCATATCTTTCTTTCTACGAACTTATTCTTTCTTCTTGTACTATATTCTTATATGCAATCCTTCTTTTATTTATTACTACCACTAAATTAACTACTTCTATGAATTTGGTGCTTATGTTGTTGTGTTAATGAGGTGTAGCAACTTGAACCGATGCATATATGTGTTTGGTGCTACGTTTTAGCTGACTGATCGAGAATAGTTCCTAAAAAGAGTAGAGTCCCGTTGATCACCTTGTTTATCATTTTATGATGTTTGAGGCGTTTATCATAAGACTTTAAATCTACGTTTCATCTTTGATTACACTAAATAAAAAGAGATTTTGCAGTCTTCAGGGAACTGAGGCTTTAGAAAGGAGTTCCTACACAATAGTGAATACCCAATCTATATTTTGACTAAAATCATGAATATGATCAGAATATTAATTCCAAGAACTGTGCTATATGTTACTTGAAATCGCTCATTCTAACAGGTGGTAGAAGATTGTCTAAATAGTTCAGTGGAAAGTCTCTGATTAAAAGTTAGTTTGGAATCCTATGACAAGTATTAGTTTCATTCAGAACAATAATACACCTAACTCACGAGTCTTGATTGACAAGAATTCATTTATTTTAGCACATAAATATTGGTACAGGGAAGCACCAAATACATATGCGCCACACAAATCTCATTCGATATGTGTGAGGGCTGTGATACTGCCCGGGTGCCCAAACCGAATCAAGTGGTTTTCTTAGGGGGCTACACACCGAGCCTTCGACATGAAGGTCTGATCCACAAGGCAGTGGATCATCGTAAGGAGATGCAGTCCCATGGTAGCTGGTGACGAACAGTTGGTTCATACGCCATTTTTCCCTTCAGGATACTGGAGCCCATATGCACGATTGGTTTGGGATCCGTTTAAAGCCCCGGACATTCGCTTTTCGTCCTCTCATTTTCGTAAACAGCACCCTCGCCACGAGAAGACAGTCAGTAGGACTTCCCTAGCAAAGGCTATATACGCGTGGTCATGTGAGAGCATTTCGAGAGGGAGAGCGGACTCTCCCCACTCTCGGGTGGGGTCCTATTATTTTTCTCCTACCAACTATCTCTTACTACTTAATATCACAATATATAAATCAATTAAACCAAAATTGAATGTTAATTTACTTTTAACTTTTAGTTATTTCTACGTGCTGTTGGTATAAGTCCATGGGAAGGTGCACAAACTGCATTATATTGTACATTAATTAATGATCCAGTACCTGGTGGATATTATTCTAATTGTGAAAGAGAAGAATTAACTGAAAAAGCATTAAATGAATCACTTAGTAAAAAATTATGGGATGCATCACGTGAAATGGTTGGTTTACCACCGAATTTATTAAGTTTACCATAACAAGAAAAAAAGAAAAATAATTCTCACAATTTTCTTTTCTTTTTTGTTCTTCTTCTTCTTCTTCTTCATATTTTGTTAACATTTTATGTTGGTTATTATTCATTAAAAGAATGTTTTTTTTTCACTTTTTTGTTTTACTCAATATGTACTCTTAACTTTATAATAATAATAATAATAATAATAATGATATAATAATTATTGATTTTTTGTGGTTACCTTATCAACAAAATGTATATTTCATTATTAACATTATCAATTATTACGTTTATTATTATTTTTATTATTGATTATTGATAATAAATAGTTTATAATAATAATTGACAATATTCAATGATGGTTTCGGTTTATTATGTTCAATGTGTCAATTGAAATTCATGAGTTACCATGGTAACTATAATAATAATAATTTTTATTATGAGATACAATAAAAGAATTTTGTCTTATTATTATTGTTTATTCTACTCTGTATATCAGCATTCTTTTTTCTTTATATAAGGTTGATAAGCAATGAATGAATGAATGAGACCGTTTGTTTGGATATACAAAACAAGAATGAAAAGTAGTACAAAAAAAAGAAAACAATCAATATTATTAAGTTTAAATAATCGACAGTAGAATAAAGAAAAATTAGAAGATGATTGAATATTGTTAGATGATATAATGAATTTGCAGAGATATTAATTGCTCTGTTACGACCGACAGTGGGCATTGTCAGTCCTCCATCTCGAAATGCTCTCATATGGCCACGTGTAAACAACCACTGCCAGAGAAGTCCTATTCACTGCCTTCTCGTGGCATTACTGTTGTTTACGAAATTCAGAGGACGAAAATCAAATTTCCGGCCCTTTAACCGGGTTGGTGTATAAGGACAGTCTACCTAGGGGAGTTCGGAAACCTCGATTCCAAACCAATGCTCCACATGGGATTCAGAAATCTGAAGGGACAAATGGTGTATGAACCAATCGTTTGTCACCGGCTACCATGTGACTACATTTTCTTACGATGCTGCACTGCCTTGTGGATCAGACCATTAGGTCAAAGGTTTCGAATGTGTCCCTCTAAGAAAACCACCTTCTTCGGTTTGGGCACCCGGGAAGTATCCTAGTTTTCACACAAATCGAATGATTTATGTAGTGAATATCTATTTATTGCCTGCTTGTATCATTATTTATGTATTTAAATAAATTATATACAGATAAACGAGAAAATCAACACTGACCTCATATGACATGGTAACTTTTAAAATGGCCTTCAATGCAGTTTTGCTTTCTTTGATATTTAGTTTAGTTGACATATTTAAGTGTCAAATGTTACTGAATTGAATGTTTGATTACGACAGTATTATCTTAAACATTCATTTCAGTTAAGTTAGTTTACTTCATCATATTTTACAAATTACGATTTTTATTTAGGTAGTAACTAGATAGCCTTAACGAATCTTCACTTATCATATGTTGCAAGCAGATGTTGAGAATAGTTCTAAGCGTAATTTATGGGCATATTTATTCAGTGTAGAAATAAAGCTTCCTGAAGATTTTTGATTTTCTTGCTCTGCATCCTCGTTTGATAAGCATTGGGAAGCGTTTCGGTCAGTCTTTGGCAACGTTGAAGGTGTGTGTTCGTCGGTTCAAGTTGGCATGTCATATCACCAAAGCTGGATGAAATTATCAAGACGAATTCTACAGAAATGAAAGTAGCATCAGTATACGTAGTATAATGAAGAAATAAGCTTAGACAAAATTATTCGAGAAAGAACGAATCTTGGAATAAATATCGTAAGATAGTTTAAGAACTTAGGATCTACGTGATGGCAGAGATTGAATGATTATGAGACATGTCATGAGACATATGAAACCATTGATTGCAATTATCATGCAGTATGCACTCAAATAATCTGTATATGCCAGTATCACTCAAACCAACTGTCAGTAGCTTCATGAACTAATTATGTGCCTTCTTATGGCTACCCTAGCTTTCTTCCAACTTACTTATACTCGAGTCAACTTCACGCATTGAAGTAGACAGTAGCTGAACATATGCTACGCGCGTTCCTAAATCCTCGGTCAATGAAGATTCTTGTGTGTGGGCGAGGAAAACAGTGACTTACCTAGTAAGACTAGTAGATAGTCTGACAGGTATTAAATGTGTTATTTATTTTCCTACCCCTTGTTATTATTACCACTTTCGGTTGTTGACTTTGAAATATGCTCAAGTTATAGTCAGGTCAGTCACGTGTTCTTGATCCTAGCTGTGTTGAAGTCCTGCAGAATGGACACTAGGAGGGTATCTATGGTGTATGCTACTTATTTTAACAGATATAAGTAGTATGCAATATCAATCGGAAGTGGAATAAGTGTAGAAGATTGAATCGAAGAGAACAGAAAAGGGAAACATAGGAATGAAAATGACAACCAGACTAGAAGATTAAAGAAGTACGTACAGGACATCTGAAAGACGATGCGCAAATAATGTATTTAATGTATGATTTTCATACATCGACATGATGAGACGATCAGATGCAAACCGAATGATAAATGGGAAATACAGACAAGTGAATACTATTAATCGAAATTTGACTTAAATTTCCGAGGAAATAGACATATGGTACTGGCTAAAAATTTAGGTAAGCACTTTAAAAGATATTTATCTGTAGTTATGAATGACTTAATTATATATTTTTGATTCGATTACCTAATTACACGTTCCTACTCACTCTTGGTACGCCAGCTCAAGTATCTGGTTTGTGCATCTATGTAGTAAGAGTACGTATCAGTATCAGACTAAGACAACAGCAGAACGCAACATACACTCAGTTAGTCAGGTTCATAGACACAGACACATTACAAATCATCACAGCAAAAATAACTTGATTATTCCTATTCTGTCAGTCAGCTACAACGTAGGACCAGGCACATATATGCATCGGTCCAAGTTGCCATACCTCATTAGCACAACAACATGAACACCAAATTCATAGAAGTAGTTAATTTAGTGGTTATAATAAATAAAAGGAGGATTACATATAAGGACATAGTACAGGAAGAAAGAACTAGTTTGTAGAAAGAAAGTTATGAGGTGATTTTAATCTCATAGTTTAAGGGAAGACAGGGAGTGTATACACCCACACCATTGTGATCGATTCTGAACCATGTCACACAGAGTTTCCAATCATTGTTTACGATAGTCACGTGGACCCCAACCAAGTTGTTTGCATCTCCTAACATGACTAAGATTAGAAGTTAGTGACTTCAAGAACTGATGCCACGTTTTGTTTTGACTGCCCCTAACTTTCTTCCCACCGTCTCCAACATTAGTCTGCATTGCGCGTCATCGTAATCGGTGTTTAGGCATACGCAACACGTGGCCCAACCATCTCAGTCAATGAAGATTCACAACCTCATCAACTGATCTACCATCATTCCCTAATACCCGATTATTCCTATTAAGATGAGTCAAATCATGTATTACAAATATAGAAACTGACAATATGAAAAAGGATTTAGACCATAAAAGTAAATGGGTGTATTTTCTACAATAAAAACCAATACAGCACTATACAAAAACAAGAAAAGGAGATTGTTCAATTAATTAGAATCCGTTCAAAGATTCTAACTCAATGGTTGAATTACTCATGAAATGAATCATGGACTATACATTCGAAATGAATAAGCTACTTCAAAAGAAAACAAAGTCTCAGCACAGAAAAACAAATGACGAAGAATTAAAAAGCGGAGGATATAAAATTACAATCAAGAAAGTGGATTAAAACACTGAATAAATAGGCAAATATTTAGGATTAGGAGTAAATTACAAAACAGAAACATTAGATTTTAGATATACAAGCGTCATTACCACGCTACTGAATATTGATTAGTAGTATAATGAAATACATAAAAAAAGGAAGGGTAGACAAGTCGAAGCCTAAAACCAGTTCAACTATAAATATTATGTCATTAAAACTGATTCATTGTCAGGATTCAACAAAAGTGTAATTAAAGTTTCAAATAATTTCAAACGACATGAATTATTCGTCTTCAATGTTTCAATAAATTCATAATTGTTTATGGCATCAATATTACCATTATTCTCAGGTTCAACATTGTATACTTGCTTTTCTAATAAATATGGATCATATTCAAAGTGAACACCACTTAAAATACCACAACCATTCCCTACTTTCGAACCAATAATAGCCGGTTTTCCATTATCCGAGCTGGAAAAAAAATGTATATACATATACATTTCACATTTATCGTAGGGCATAGGATCAAACTGGACAGGTTAAGCTATTACCCGTCCCAGTCAGAAATGGATCAACTAACGAACTAAATCAATTATTCGCCACAGATATATCTCATTTACAGTACCATTAAAATCAAGGAGCATTACACGTACATTTCGTTCCAATATGAGACTCATCAGTTCTTACTGACGACGCTATCAGTGATCAAGCCAGAGGATTTAAAGTCTTGTGACGAATCCCTAGCTACTGGAACCATCAAGTTAACATGCACAGGAGCATTTATTTCAGCTTTGCATGATCATTATTATTTAAAAGGACTCATTGTTATAGAATAAAACTAGAGGTTTTTTAGTGATATCAATTAGCAACTATAGTAAATTACCGTGTGATATAGTTCTGACTAGATCGGGGATTTCTTTAATCTTAGTATTGTGATGATATACATATATATCTTGAAATACGTTGAGTAATTACTTACTTACTTACGCCTGTTACTCCCAATGGAGCATAGGTCGCTGACCAGCATTCTCCAACCCACTCTGTCCTGGGCCTTCTTTTCTAGTTCCATCCAATTCTTGTTCATTTTTCTCATCTCTATCTCCATTTCTCGGCGTAATGTGTTCTTTGGTCTTCCTCTTTTCCTTTGACCTTCAGGATTCCATGTGAGGGCTTGTCTTGTGACGCAGTTGGGTGCTTTCCTCTATATGTGTCCTATCCACTTTCAGCGCTTCTTCCTGATTTCTTCCTCCACTGGAATCTGGTTTGTTCTCTCCCACAGTACGTTGTTGCTCATAGTGTCCGGCCAACGGATCCGAAGTATTTTGCATAGACAGCTGTTACTAAACACTTGTATGTTTTAGATGATGGCTTTGCTAGTTCTCCAGGTTTCTGCCCCATACAGTAGAACTGTCTTGACATTTGTATTGAAAATTCTGACCTT